ATTTTATTTAGAATTTTGTTTAAGATATCTATTGAAAAATTCTTTCCGGTAATATTCTGATATATCTTGCTAATTTAGTATTGTGTACAATATTCAAGGTTCAAATGCACATCTATGCGACCAGGGCAAATGCTAAAATAAGAAATAAAATAAGTTTTATAGATTGTATTAATAGAAACTAGTGATATGACCCGAAATCTATTAGATTCTATTTTCATATTAAATTCAATGAATATCTAATATGAAAATATATATTCAATAGATTTCAGATCACAGCTAATAGAAACATTAACGTTAAATCTTTTTATCACTACTGTATTACCATGCGGCGTCAATATGTTCAATATGATTAGTTGTCATAATAATTATTGTACCTTCTAATAATATTTGCCCATCCAAATATCCAAGAAAATTAGATAAACTTATAAATTAAAATAAATCTTTATATTTTGATAGATCATCATTTTCTTTTATAAAATCTTCAGACATAAAATTATAATAATTTGGGTGGCTAACACCTCTGTTATAAAGAATATTTGATTGTATATCAACATCTTCAAAAAACAATTATTTGATTTAGTAGAACAGAACTAAAGACAGTGCTCATATCATTATCATTTTTAATTTTTTTGAGATTAAGATAATAGAGATCTCGTGACAAATAAGATGATATAGCATTTATTAATATAGTTTTTCCAGTTCCGGGTTTATCATAAAAAAGAAAACCATGTCGATAAGGCAAACCAATTCCCTTGTAAAACTCTTTGTCATTAACAAAAGAGTCTAATTCTCTTTTCAATAATATTTCTTGTAGTTTATCTAAAATGACAGTTTCCAAACTATTCAAGTCTGGTAAATGCTAAACTCTGCTCCAATTTTCTTTATTATACTTATATCATGCAAGTTTATGATTTTTTTCTTTCATTTAAAATAAGATCTTGTCACTTCGCTAATGAATTCAGTAATCACATTAACATCAAGTCTGTTATTTGAACTTGAGTCATCGTTAATAATTGATAAAAAAATAGAAGGTACTGGATTGGATTCTTTATAGTATGATTGAGGTTGAGGATAATTTTGATTATTGTTGTCATTTTCTTGCAGTTTATACACAACATTGAATTTATGACCTCTGTACTCTATACTGATTTGTTGTTTCTTTTCGGGCAAAATATTAAAATCTGGTATTTCATATATATTATACTTTTTATTATTTGCAGGTTGAATAATAAATGAACCATTATCTAATTTTTTTGTTTGTTGTGAGATAATCTACAATAAAGCTTCATATAATAGATTTTTTTTCTTAGTACCATAAATACCTAAAAAAATTTGTTGCTTTTAGATTTAACATGCTTTATTGTAGAGAAAATCATACTACCCTTAATATAATATTCAATTTGCACTGTTAATGAGCTTCTGAACTGAAAAATCTGTAGCAAGAAACAAGATATATAGATCAAGATGGTTACTGCAGTTGCTATTAATATAGTTATAAACATATCTATAGTGATTATTTCAGAGAAATATGGCTCAAGTTTTGAAGGAAGCATGTTAGAAAAACTGCTTGTAATTGTTCACAGGTGAAAAGACTAATAAAAGGTCTAAAAATCTCTTTGAAGTCGGCCATTTTTTGATAGTTGAGAAAGGAATACTAAATTAAAATTACTAAAATTTGTTTTTTTATCTTTTTTTTTTAAATTGAAAAAATTAATTTAACAATTTTAATTTATAAATATAATTATAATAAATTTCAATTCAGTTTTTATTGATTAAAATATAATGCATAAGAACTTTATAAAATTAGTGATAGAATAATAGTGCAAGTAGATCTTGACGATGAAGATAATGCTATAAAACAAATAATAAGGGTGCAGTACATGTAATTCAAGGAAAACAAACCTATCGTGAGCGATGATGGCTAGGAGTAAATATACTAAATTTATATATTTTAATATTTTGATAAAATTTATATTTAAAATGTAAATAGGTTATTATTTTTTTCTTATTCTTATTAAGCTATCTTTTCATTTTTTATCAATTAGATCAAAACCTTTTATTAATTATGATTAGTTTTCAAAAAAATACTCTAAACTGTGTAAAATTAAATAGCAGACAAACTTATACCTATGAGATCTGAGGACCGAATCTGAAATAGTGCAAACAGAGATTTCATCATTACGTTTTTGATTTTTTTATTAAAAATACATCAAAAACGAGAGTTTTGCATAAAAATTGAGAGTTTTCCAGTCTTCTGCCACATTTCAAAGAGCAGTTTCCGGTTAAAGAGTTATTGCAGTGAATTTATATATATAACCTTAGCGATCAATGTCTATTTCATATTAAATAGATATTAATATGAAAATGGAATTCGGGGTACTATAAACGTTGATGTTATACGACTGATCCTTCACCCGGTGTGCAACATATAAAAAAATTATTTTACAATACTATAGTACATGTTATGATTATAATCCAACACCATTTTTATTATAATAAAATGTACTAGTGGAATAATCTGGTATTGTAAAATCGGAATAATCTGGTATTGTAAAATAATTTTTTTATATATTGCATACCAGGTGAAGGATCAGTCATGTAACATAGACATTCCCTCTTGTTTATTACTATAATGTTTGTAATAATAATACCTAATGCCTCAAGCCAAGGATCTTTTAAAGCACCTACATACAAAATGATTTCGTTATGAAGTTGGGTATTGTTTCTATAAAATTCTATAATTACTTGTTCAAAAGTTGCTGTATTATCTCTACAGGGTGTTGATGAAGATCTTGGTCTGAATTAAGCTTAATTCGGTTAATCTAAACCAAGGTGTTATTTTAAGATAATACTGTATAAATTTGTGAAAGGTCATACTAACGTATTATTGAGTTCTGATTTAATTGTATTTAAAGATTAATAATTTAAAGAGACAGAACTTAATTGTTTCTTAATTACTCATTGAAAATATCAAAACTTAAATTTTTTAAAATGCATTTTCATCATTTCGATTGCAAAAAAAGTATTTCTTTTAAACAAATAGAAACCACAAACCACCAAGAAACTATAAACTATGTTATTAGTAGCATTGATCAGCCAACACTTGAAAAAATTAAACAAACAGTTGTTTTGTATATACCACTTCATCAACTTATTGCACCAAGTAAAAATCGAAGAGGATATCAAATTCCAAAACCTCAAAATAGTTTTGTATTATATAGAAGGAACTTATGTGCATCAATTAATAAAACAAATGATGCAACAAACAATCTTGCAAATAATAAAACAAATAATGCAACAAACAATTTTAAATTTATTTCAAAAGAAGCGGCCAAAAATTGGTCAAAAGAAAGTAATGAGGTTAAGCAACTTTATGAATTATTAGTGGATTGTGCAAAGCAAGTTCATAATATAGTGTATCCTTATTACAGATATAAACCAAAGCATAAATATTATTTTAAAGTAAAATCATCGCTTGCACCTCATCTTTTTCCAAAAAATTTATATACATGAGAAAAAATTCATGTACACCCCAATCTTGCCCCTCTGATTATAGAAGTTGATAGAAATTTTACAGAATATGATAAAAAAGTGTGGGGTTAGTTAATGACTTAATCAGTTATATGTCTATTTTTTCATATTGATGGTCCCAATAAATTTTTTAACTTTAATCAGTTGAAATGATATAATTTAATAAATATAGCGATGTGTAGCATACTGCGACTAACACTCAAAGATCTTTTGTGATTTGGTAGTTCAGTTTCAATAGGACTGTAACAAAGAATAATATATAAAGTTTCATCAATTAATGAAAAATGCATACTTTCTAGCCAGCACCAGTTGAATTTGATCCAGCCTTTGTCGAAGTTTGTTGAGATATTATATACGATGAGTAGTTGACCCGACATCCATTGAATTCCATTTTCATATTAATTAGATTTAATATAAAAATAGATATTTTGATTCGTGCAGACATTCGTAATGTATGGCTTGAAGGCTTTTGCCTCGTTCTTTCAACTCCAGCCAATAATTTAAAACAGTCATACGTGTTTATAATATCGGGAACTCCCATATAAAATTATTATTTAAACCGTCCATTTGTGATATGAAGAGCAAATAATTTGTTTATTTTGAAAAAAGCAAAAAATAAGTATTTAACTTATCTTTATGTATTAATAAAAAATGTACTATAAAGCATATCACAACCATAACCCAAAACTAAATCTTATCCTAACTTTAATCAAATAGTAAAAAACATATAAAGTGAACGTAGCTTTAGACTCTGAGCTTGTCAATTACAAATTTTAGTTATCCTTTATATTAAATGTGTAAAGAAATTGTTATTAGCGAATTAAATATATATATATACATGCCGCCCAAACTCAGACAAATTCCAAACCCCTAAAAAACAAATTGCATTTATAAAAAATTAAATCAAAAAAATCTTTTAATATTTTGTAAATATATTATATACAGCTATAAGAATATATATTATTTGTTTAAATAAAGATTATTAATAAAGTTTTTGAGATAATAGTTTGGGCTTGAGTTTGGAATTTGGGCACGGACAAACCCAAACTATAATAGTTTAGGATTTGGGCGGCAAGTATAGGTATATAATCTTAAATGATTATTCTTCTGTTTCTATATATGATTCAAAATTTATCTCATAAGTACAAAAATAATTTTTATATCTCTCTAATTGATACTTTAAAACACAATTTATGTTTCTAACATGACAAAGATCAATTATTTCTCTCTCACTGTCTTTCTGTTTTTCTATGTTGTATTTCTCTGATCTTACTATTTCTATATATCTTAAATATTTAGCTTTTTAATAAATTTTCTTAAATTTGGAAGTAGATCAAGCTCAACATTAAAAGGTAGTATAAAAACTTCTAACTTCACCCTTTTTATATTAAAATCTTGTAAAAAACAATTCAAATTTTTATAACTATAATCATAAATATTAAGTAAGCTAAGAATTTTTAAAGAGCTAGGCAAATATCTGATTAAGATTTGTAGATAATCTTGACTACTATAAGGAAGATTATAATAAGCAAATCCTCCTATTTGTAATTGACAAAGCTTATAAAATTTTCTAAATGTAGAAGAGAACATAAGATTATTAGTTACATAACATAAAGTAGTTATGTTTGGATAATTTTGACAAAGTAAAAAAATAAATTCCTCCTTTACTTTATTGCTTAATTCCTTCTTATTTATTATAAAAAATTTTAATGATTTGCATTTTGTCTTTAGCATAATTCTATTTAATTCTATGCTATTATCTACTAATTCGAGTCTTTGAAGTTTTTGTAAATTATTTTTATCTTCTTCAAAAGGATTTCCAAAAGAGTGCTTTATTGATAAAACTTCTAAGTTTGGTACAAGATTTGCAAGATTATTTTTATTGAACTTGATTTCTTGTAAAATTAGTTTTCTAAGACTTTGAGATTTTACTTGGAGCATTTCATATCATAGTAAAGATGTAAAACTAGTTGTGCTAAAATATTTTAACTCAAATTCTTTGAGTTTAGTTTGAGTCTTAATTAAATTTAAAAATGGTTCTTGACAATTTGGTGGTATATCTTCATTATATGCCATAATACAGATGGTCTGAATTTTTTTTTTTCATGTTGAAATCAAGTTAATATAATTGTATATATTTGTGTTTTGACTATTTGAAACAACACATTCTCTCAATTTTAATGAATAGAACCATGAGCTGGGGATTAAAGGAAATGTTGAGCTATCTTCAGCTACTAAAATATAGAATTTCTTGATTTGCATACATCTTTGAAATAACATACTTTGGATAACCACAAAGGTTGAAAATTTTAAACTAGGCTGAGATATATCCTGAGTATATTGGAGCTTGAATATGTCTTTAGAAAGTCAGTATATTCAAATAAAGTTTTTTGAAAAATACATGATAAGTCAACTTGATATGTGCTTGAGGTCAATTGATATTTTTCATTTTTATTAAGATAAAAAAAGTAAATAGATATAATATTTATAGAATGTTTAGATATATGATAAAAAGGATTAGCCTATAAAAGAAACACAGTAAAACAGCAAAATGTGCGATCAACTAAGAGGCAATTATATAAAGTATGGTGGTCATATTCAAAGTTTTTGATAATTTCTAAATAACATTCATTTGTTAATTTTATTTCAATATACAGTCAAACTCCTCTATAGTCACCTCCTCTATAGTCACAAATTCAATATAATCACACATATATTTTTACCAACCATTTTTAATATTATTTATACCTTTATATAAGCACAATCACTTTATAGTCACTATCACAATTTTTTATTAACAGCTTATATAATACATATATAAAATTAACCCCTATAAAGTCACATCAAATCACAGGGTATTACTTTTTTGAAGTAATCACTACTGTACCATATAAAATATAATACGCATATATAAAAAGTGATAAATAATTCTTATCAATATCCTAATCACTAAATTCAAAAAATCTCTTAATTAATTTTTATATGACACCGCATATATTTGTCAAATATAGTTGACCGAATACCCCAGTTTGACATGATAATTATATAGTTTTATTGATTTTGGGATTTAGTTTAATAGATGTATTGTATGGTTGACGCATATGTTATGTAATAATCAAATAGTAATTCGGATATTTAATTTGGATCCAATTCCGAAAATGCTCCCGAATAAAATAATTGGATCAAATTTTATTTTTAGCTTAAATAAACGCAAAAATCTTAGATTATTATTGCTTGATCGAATTTTTATTATGAAGGAAAAATATATGAGAATTGGGATCGCCACAACATAGTACTTTGAAGAAGATCATGCAATATATTACAATATGCTTGCTCTTTTTGTTTGCTTATGTACAACCAAATTATTGCTTGTGACCATTATCTTAACAGGTCACATATACTAAATAATTTTAAGAACATCTGATGGGTTGGATAGAGTGGGATGAAAAACCCATACAAATTTTGAACCAGCTAAAATGTTATCGTGTCTGGGAAAAACCCATCTCTAAATTAAGACCTTAATTGGTGATCATTGCACGATCATACTAAGCAGCTTTATATGTATATATTTATTAAGGTTCTTGTACTGCTATGCAGTCACAGAGCCTTACATATACCAATACATATACAAATACCTATTGGCATCATATGCTAAAGCTATTGATCAAGTGATTATTGAGCTGCTTTCAATTTATGAAGTTATTGAGTTGCAATTAAGGTCCTTGCACTGCTACACAATTGTAAAGCCTTATATCAATTAATTCATTAAGGTTCTTGCACTGCTATGCAGTCATAAAGCCTTATATCTACCAATGCCCATCGCATGTTTAAGCCATTGATCAGTAGTTATTAAGCTGCTTCAGTCACTGAGCCACAATCATACTAAGCAAACTCTAATTCATACAGTCATTGAGCTGCAATTAAGATCCTTGCACTGCTATGTAGCGTGAAGCATTACATCTATTAATGCCTATCGGTATAAGATACTTATGCAAAGCAGACTCTATATCATATATTCATTAATCAGTGGTCATTGAGCTACTTTCATTCACTGAGCCATGATTATAGCAAATTTAAATTCACAAAATCATTGAGCTGCAATTAAGGTCCTTGCACTGTGATGCAGCAGTGGCACCATATATCTATTAATGCCTATCGGCATAATATACTTACACTAAGCAGAATCTATGTCATATATTCATTAAGGTTTTTGCACTGCTATGTGCCATAGAACCTTATATCTACCAATGCCCATCGATATGCTTAAGCTATTGATTAAGTGTTCATTGCACTGCTTTCAGTCACTGAGCCACAATTATGCCAAGCAAACTCTAATTCATAGTCAATAAGCTGCAATTAAGGTCCTTGCACTGCTACGGAGCTTTATACCTATTAATAATCTATCAATACCAGACTTTATGTAATGTTAAGGTCTTTGCAATACTACGTACCAATACTATCAATATATGATACTTAAGTTATTAGTTGAGTGGTCATTGCACTATTCCCAGTCACTGAGCCATGATCATATTAAGCAAACTCTAATTCATACAACATTGGGCTGCAATTAAGTTTCTTGTACTACAATGCAGCTGTGGTGCCTATATCTATTAACCGTTAATTGGGCGGTCACTGCACTAAGCTATGATTATGCTAAATAGGCTTTATATCATATGGTCATTGCTAATTCAGATAGTACCCTTTCTAACTTTTTGGGTGGGATGGTAGGATGACGAAGCCAGCCTAATATCATAAGGCGGGTGATAATGAAACCAAAGATGAAACTCCTTAATGCAAATTTTTTCCATATATATCAGCTTTCACATGATTAGACATGATATCATATCATGCTTAATCATGTGAAAGCTGGTAAAATTTGCATTAAGGACCGGATACATACTATATATATTGTGGTTTGTTAGTACATATGTCATAGGTGGGAATAGAATTTATGTTGATTCGGAATTTTTAAGGTTAGGGTA